TTGAGCCGATTGTCTAGATAATGTAGGACCCTCAACGTCTCACAACCCTATGGGCCTTCACGGCCTGGTACAGGGAGAGCTTTACTTTTTTTTTTACACAAATACTAGGACAGTATCTTAAATTAGGCCACGACTGCTCCCTTCCGCATATTATTTTCTTTATTGCTAGTAGGGTGGGACCAAGTCCCTTGTACTGCGGCCACTTCTGGCCTATTTTACCAGCCCCAGATGATAGGTGAGGGTGATTGTGGAGCAATTGGTGGAATGAAGATTGGCAGGGGAAACCTGCCCCAGCGCCACTTTGCCCACCACAAATCCCGCTTGACCAGACCCGGAATCGAACCCGGGCCGCCAAGGTAGGAAGCCAGCGACTAACCGCTTGAGCTATGGCGCGGCCACGATCTCCCTTGCACATACTTTCCAGTTCAAGACTCGCTGTTTCTCGCGCTATGTATTTCAAGTTACTGACGGCATGATTAGATAAACTGTATGTAATACATAAAGTGTTAGGGATCTGTGATTAATTGAAAGCAACTTGAAGCTCCTTAATCCGGCTCAGGCGACTTCAAAATAAATCCATTCGACACAAAAATAAAAATATTATTGGCCATCCCTGGATAAAAATTGATGCACGAATAATCATGGTCTTGCAGATCCTGCCTTCGAATCTAACTGCGGCAGAACACGTAAGGACTGAGTTGTCACGATGGGAGAACAACTATACAGATGTGTCAGTCCTGAAGACCAGAGCAGAACAGGCGGAGAGGGACAAGGAGACTCTGGTGGAAAAGGTCACACTTCTGGAGCGACGTATTCAGGTCAGTCAAATGTTCTCCCCCCCCCCAGTGGGGTGGGACTAAGTCCCTTGTACTGTGGCCACTTCTGGACTATTGTACCAGCCCCAGATGTTAGGTGAGGGTGATTATGGAGCAATTGGTGGACTGAAGATCGGCAGGGGAAACCGAAGTATTCGAAGAAAACCGACCCCAGTGCCACTTAGTCCACCACAAACCCCACATGACTAGACCTGGGCTCGAACCCGGCCCGCTGCGGTGGGAAACTAGCGACTAACCGCTTGAGCCATGGCGCGACCCTCAATCACATGTTAGTTTTGTTGTAACAGACCGATAAGTTGTTTGTTCTAGCTCAGTTCTTAACCTAGGTGCACATAACCCTCCATTCACAGGTTGGTGTTTGTGGGGCACCAGAACTTAGACTTAGATTTCTAACGAAAGAAGTGTGGTAAAAGGGTCAATCAGTCCTCCCCTACATTGTCATCAGGCAGTTATTAACTGTGCGACTTGTATGACTACTGAAACCAGCCTCTGCACATGAGCATGCGTGTCTGCTACCTAGATTGTCATGTAGCTGTGCAGTGCTGCTGCCTAGTGATACGTATAGAACACCTATCACATCAATTACAGCTGGTTTTCTTCCATTTCTGACTCTTTTTACTAACCCTTCCTCGTATAAGTGAGTACTTCCCAAAACAGATAAACTATCCAAACTGTTCCTGCCGTCATGAACTCTGTCGTCTTAAGCTGGAGCGAAATGTCCTTCCTCCTTGGAGGCATGTGGTGTAATATGGCGTGTATTGAAACTTCTGTTGTTTCCTTTACTTCATTCTTTCAGTAGTTCATTTATCATTCCTGATTTGTCGTTATTATTCATGACTGTCATTCGGAATATCCGGCGTTCGGTTTCCGGCCCGGGACAGAAACCCGACTGTCATGGCTGAAGTCACTCCAACGAAACCCTGGACTCACACTCTTCTAATGCCTGCACACGTTCTAAACGCAATCTTGAATTCATGCGTAGTTAGGAGCGCAAATTTATTTTCCATGTCTGGTTTTAATGTTAAGGATAATTGTTGTATATACTCACTTATATATTTGTTTTTTTATTGTGTAATGCAATTATCGTAACTTCGGAGCTGTGCAGAAGGCACTCCATAATGAGGCAGGCCTACTTTCGTTATATTTTATCTCAATTTTCTCATGTCACCGAACTGTCAAATATATTAACTGTAGTAATAACAGAGACCCCCTGACGGCCCGTTGATTACGCCGACGCCCGAAAATTGAGATGAATGGCGTTCATTGCCGATAGGCATTTTCCACACTACAGGTCCATGAGCTGGTTTCATTACGTACAGAAAGCATGAGAAACTCTGTCATGTCAACCTGTTCTCGTATCTGAAATTCGCATTGACTTCCGGTTGCTCTTGAGTGGTAGCCTTTTGCCTGTAGGTGTGTTGTCTATGCCAGTAGCCTAGTGAGTTTACATCTTTAGATGAGTTAAATGTAATTTCGTATCAAATTTCATTCGAATGAAGTTTTTATGGGCAGGTCACGGTAGCCGAGCGGTCTAAGGCACGTACTGTCTTCGCTCGCTTGGAAACCGGGATAGTGGGTTCGAATGTTTCCTGTGAGGTACGAACTGAATTCTTATATATTATTTTTATACACTGCCGGTCACGGTAGCCGAGCGGTCTAAGGCATGTACTGTCTTCGCTCGCTTGGAAACCGGGATCGTGGGTTCGAATTCCACTCAGGGCATGGATGTTTAATTTGTGTGTGTACGTTTTTCTGTGCTTGTGTACAGATACAGGCCTTGCGACGAGCTGATCACCCGCCCAAGGAGTCCTACCGAATGTGTAAGATCTAGAAACACCGAAGTGAACAGAGGAGTTCATGGAGGTAGGCCTAGCCCACTGGGGCTGTAGTGCCAAGGAAAAAAAAATGTTTATGTCGAATACACAATTTATCGACGCTAACTATTGATGCGTGTAATTTCTTTAATTAGCATACCAGTAATCAGTTAATTCCACTCTATAAATTTGCTCCAGAGAATCAGGGAAGCTGAGAATCCCGTGCGAAATTTATCCATTGTCTTATCAGTATGACAGTGGATGCAGTTTAACTTCAAAGGACTTACTAACCTGAACTGTTTTGCGAAGAAAATATTTGTACTCTACCGTTTATACCTTAACATAGCACCAGTTTGGAACACTTACTTACCATGGAGCTGAGCCCTTCTTGAGGAGCCGCCAATTCTGCAGCTACTCAAGAATTTCCAAGCATTTTATGGAACCCCAAGGTTCATTACCGTGTTCACAAGAGCCCTCCGCTGGTCCCTATCCTGAGCCTGGTCAATCCAATCCAATCCATCCCATCCCATCCCATCCCATCCCATCCCATCCCATCCTATCTCTCTAAGATCCATTCTAATATTGTCCAGCCACCTACGCCTTGGTCTTTCCAGTGGTCTCTTCCCTTCTGGCTTTCCCACCAATATCCCTATATGCATTACTCTTCTCCCCCATTCGTGCCACATGCCCTGCCCACCTCAGCCTCCTTCACTTGATCATTCTAATTATACTTGGAGAAGAGTACAAGTTATGAAGCTCCTCATTATGCAGTTTTCTCCAATCTCCTGTCACTTCATCGCTCTTCGGTCCAAATATGCTCCTCAACACGCTGTTCTCAAAGTCAAACAGCGTGTGTAGTTTGGAATATAGTATCTTAATATATCTTTCTTATGAAAACTTTGAAAAAGAAATTATTTCGGAAAACAGTTTAGTACTGCTTCAGAATCTGTATCAAAAGTCAAGTATTAATTCAGATCGTCAAATAATGAGTATTTGTATGTGACGTATGTCAATATTGTAGTATTCAACAGCTTCCCGCAATTTTACACACTGTGGTATGTACACCCGTTGCTAGGCAACGTCCTAGAAATAAGCAACTGTACAACAGTTGTTGCTAAGTAAGAGCCAGTTAAAGCATCAGAGGAATAGTGCTTTCTGCGCAGTCCTTTCCGATGGCTGTGCATGCAACAATGGAATACGTCATGCCACCGCGTAGCAACAATCGCACTGCATCGGTGTCTTTACGCGGTCCGTGCCGAGATGTTATAAGTAGGACAGTCAGACGGTCAGTCAGTCAGTCAGTCAGTTAGTGGAGTGAAGTGAAGTCTGTTTGTGAGTGACTGAGCTAGTTAGACAGTGACGAGTCTGTTGGTGAGTTAGTGAGCGGCCTCCGTAGTCTAGAGGTAACGTTCCCACCTCATGACTCGTGGTACGCGGGTTCAAACCCGGCGGAGGTCGTGGAATTTTTAAGGGCGGGAAAATTCAGGGAACAAGTCCTCCGGGAGGGACTTTAAGCCTTGGGTCCCGTGTCGTAGCTTTACGGCACGTAAAAGAACCTCATATCTCCAAAGGAGGTCACTGAG